ACTCCAGCCTGGGTAACAAGAGTGAAACTCCGTCTCAAAAAAAAAAAAAAAAAAAAAGAGAATGCACTAATAATAACAACAATTGCAGCTGCCATTGGTCAAGTGCCCCATGCCAGGCACTGTTCTAAGAGCTGCATGTGTATTCCTCGTACATTCTCACAACAAAGAGATAGTAATATTAGGATGTTCTTTGGTGTGCAAATGAGAACACTGAAGCATCAGGAGGTTTAGGAACTTGGCCCAGAGCCATGAGAAGCTGGAGATGGAGGACCTGGATGAAACAGACCACGGGGCAGATGAGAAGACGTTGCTTAGAAGTGGGGGCCATGGTGAGAGGGTCAGGGGCATGGGCTTATTTGTTAATTCTTTTACTGTCTGCCTCCCCACTAGAGAGCCTGCTCCATGAGTGATCCATCTCTGCTGAACACCCTACCTCTAGCACCTGGCAAGGGCTCAAAGCATAACAAAGACTCAATAAATGCAAGAGTGCTTGACCAAATGAAGAAATGAATGAATGAATGAATGAAGATTCAGAGTCACCAAGGGTTGAAGTTTCAGGACAAGCTGGCACACAGAATTTGTTAAAACCCTGCTCAGAGGTGGGGCACGGTGGCTCACACCTGTAATCCCAGCACTTTGGGAGGCTGAGGCAGGTGGATCACCTGAGGTCAGGAGTTCGAGACCAATCTGGCCAACATGGTGAAACACCGTTTCTACTAAAAATACAAAAATTAGCCTGGCCAGTCATGGTGGCTCATACCTGTAATCCCAACACTTTGGGAGGCCGAGGCAGGTAGATCACCTGAGGTCAGGAGTTTAAGACCAGCCTGGCCAACACGGCAAAACCCCATCTCTACTAGAAATACAACAAAAATTTAGCTGGGCAAGGTGGCACATATTTGTATCCCAGTTACTCAGGAGGCTGAGTCAGGAGAATCGGGAGGCAAAGATTTCAGTGAGCTGAGATTGTGCCATTGCACTCCAGCTTGGACGACAGAGCAAGACTCTGTCTCAAAAACAAAAACAAACAAACCAACAAAAATCCCCACTCAGACCCAGTAGCTCAGAGCTAGCCTGGATGGGGGATGGGGTAGTCATAGAACCAGGCACCCCCATATCTTTGCAAAAAGGCATGCAATCATATGGCTAACCCTTGCCCACAGTGAGGAAGACTCCCCCAGACTCAGGCAGGAGGATGCGCCACCTCAGCTGAGGGTCTCAGTGAACTAGGTGGCTGTCAGTCAGGATGGATGGAGGAAGGTCTACGTTTTCTCTGCTTGTCCCCAAGAAGCAACTCTCTTCCAAGGCCCTGAACACCTTGGTTCTTCATTCCTGACTGTGAGCAACCAGGGGATGGATTCTTGGTCCCAATCTCTGTGCCTGGCATATAAAAGGTGCTCAATAAATGTTTGATGAATGAGTGAAATAATGTAATTAAGAATTTGAGGGGGCACAGTTGAGGGAGAGAGTTTTTTCTCCTTAGGACTTGTCCCCAATCACCCAGAAGGCCACATTTGCATACAAATAATTGATATTCTAATTACAAATCATTTGTATTGATTTATTAAGCAGATCCCCAAAGCATCTCTAGAAGATAATGAGATTCCTCGCTCCTCAGGGGTAAGAGCTGCATATTTACCTCCTTGTTCCCTCCACCCCCCGGCAGTGTGAGGTGGAAGAACTGTATGATAAACGCTTGATGAGGCAGTGACTGAGGTAGTCTTAATTGTGGGGAGAGTTTAGAGGGTCCCCACAGATCATTCCCAGTGTGTTGAGGCAGTTGGGTGGGGGCAGGGGATGCATTTTGTTTGTGTGTGTGTCAAATTTGCAAATCTCTCTTTCCTCCAAGCCCTGGTGATTTTCCACTGCATGGCCTTCATTCATTGAGGAGACATTTGTGGAGGGGTACATGGGCAGAATGCCGAGGACCCGGAGACAAAAGACACGCAGACCCCTGTCTCCCCCTGTCTAGCCAGGAGACAGAGCAAGACAGAACCCTGGGTGACCCTGCCAAGGACTGGCTGGGGACGAGGGCCTTAGACCTCTCCCTGTGCTTTCTGTCTGCCTATCCCCAGGCCACCCCAAAGAAATGACAATAATACAGATACATTAAAAAAAGATTATGCAACCGGTGAGTGAAAGCGTCATTAGAAAACTTTGTTATTTTCATTGATCTGATTAGAAACTGTGCTTACTCTGCAAACGCAGCATCCCCACTCCCACTGTCCTTCTGACTAGTCAGCCACCCCAGGGTGTCTGAGAAGAGAAACTGCAGCAGCCTCTGCTTGTCAGCATCAGGAAGGAAATTCAGCATCCCTGAACATCGGAGCAAGGGAGGGGAGAGGGAGGGATGGGGGAGAGGAGGGGGAGGGAAAGACACAGATGGAGAAGGAGATGGGGAGAGAGAAGGAGAGAGAGACAGAGAGGGAGGGAGAGAAAGAGAGGGAGAGGGAGAGAAAGAGGGAGGGGGAGAGAGAGGGAGGGACAGTTGGGGGAGAGGGAGATATATATATGGAGATATGTATACATGGGGAGGGAAGAGAGAAGAGGGAAGAGGGGGGAAGAGAGAGAGGGAAGAGAAAGAGAAAGAGCGAGGAAGGAAGAGGGAAGAGTAAGGGGGGAGGAGAGAGAGATGGAGGAGCAGAGAAGCAGGGAAGAGAGAGGGAGGAGAGAGAGGGAGGGTGAGAGAAATGGGGGAGAGAGGGAGAGAAAGGAAGGGAGGGAGGGAGAGAGAGTCAGAGAGAGTGGTGTGAGGTGGTGGTGCAGGGGAGACCACGCCAGGCATTTTAAGTTTTGGTTTCTCCATTTGCATTTTTCTGCTCGCCACTCCCAGGAATGCTTAGAGCCATAGATTCTCAAGTGACTGTCACAACTGTGCTTCTGCATCTGGGGGAAAACCCCAAACAAGAGTGATTACAACAGGTAAAGGCCATGAAACACGCTCCTGAAATCCAAATGGTGGCAGCAGGCCCCGCCGTTCTGCACTGAGAAGGGAAGCTCTCTTTGCTCTGAGCCCTCCCTGTGCAGATCAGGGAGTAGGGAAACTGTGGGCTCTGCAGGGGCCAATGGCCTGGGTCCCAACAGCCCTTCGCAGCGCTGTGACTGCCTTAGGCTGCTGGCAATGCCTTCCAGACAGGGACCCCCAAGAACACATCTGTGGGCGAAGAAGTTCACCGCCTGGGCACTTGGGAGTGTGAGGCAGTTCCCTAAGAAGGGTCGGAAGAGACCGGGGATTGGGGATAGTGTCAGTGATTGCAGGGCGGGGGGCCAGGAAGTGAGCTTTGCTCTGGGTCAGGTGCTGTCAAAACTTGGGGTCATGCTGTGATTGCTTCCACAAAGACTAGAGTGACGGCGAAGTCTTGTTCATGTTCTGACCTGTCATGGTCAGAGTGGCCTTGTGTGATATCGGTGTCCTGTGACATTGCTGAAATTGTCTTGTGAAATTGTGGCCTTGTGTTGTTGTCATTGTCTCTTTGACAGGAGAGAGTATACCAAGCCAGCTGCGAGGGCCAGGCCAGCCTCTGGGGCCAGGGGCTGATTTTCTCCTCCTCACTGTCTGCGACTTGGCCATTTCATCTGTCCAGTGGGAATAATGAGAGTTTCTGCCTCTTGGATCTGAGGAGGCGCCGGTGAATGGATCAAGTAAAGTCCTTGCTGCAGTGATGTTAGCTCTTATCACGAGAATGGCACACTCGGGGTGTCTCTCGCCACCAGGGATTTCAACGAGCTCCCCTGGTCTTTCTCTGATGTCAGAATCTGGGGGTTGTGTGAGGTGTGAGCTTGGGAGCACTTGTGTTTTCTGAGACCATTGTCACAGGCGGGTTTGTCTGTCTTCGGATACTTGGTGAAGGAAGTAAGTTCATCACGTAGTTGGGTTTGGTAAACTCCTTTTGTACCAAATACCACAACTACATTCAGGAATGGGGCACTTAACACCGTTTTTTTTTTTTGTTTTGTTTTGTTTTGTTTTTGAGACGGAGTCTCACTCTGTTGCTCAGGCTGGAGTGAAGTGGCATGATCTCAGCTCACTGCAACTTCCGCCTCCTGGATTCAAGCAATCCTCCCACCTCAGCCTCCGGAGTAGCTAGGATTACAGGCATGCACCACCATACCTGGTTGATTTTTGTATTTTTAGTAGAGACAGCATTTCACCATGTTGGCCCAGCTGGTCTTGAACCCCTGACCTCAAGTGATCCGCCCACCTCAGCCTCCCAAAATGCTGGGATTACAGGCATGAGCCATCCTGCCTGGCCAAAAGCCGGTTCTTCATGATTATTTTGAACTCTGTGAAGATATCCCCTCTCCTCCAATATTTACGTGTTTTTAAGTAAAAGCCGATGCTTCTTAATTTGCAGCAACCAGGAAAAGGAAAATGTCATACATACCTTCTGCTATTTCCTCCTATGGGAAAGGTATCACCCAAAGAACCATCTCTCCATTTCTTTATTACTTGGAAGATCAATTAATTCCCTACTGGGCTCCTCATTTATTTGTCTTGTGATAGAGCATGGCACGTGATAGGAGTCCCGAAGCCCTGTCCCGGTTTTTCAATTTATTTATTCCTGGGAGTCTGAGATGTAGGACTTTGCAGTGGCAGGAGTGTTTCAATGTTTGAGAAAGCAAATAATAAATGAAGATGGCTCAGCCTTTGAAAGTGGGTACCTGGGAGGGCAGGAATGGAATCTTTGACTGGCCTCGGCAGCTGCTGTGCTCTCTGCAAGGTCTCCAGGGCGCCCCGCTTCCTTGGCTGTCCTCTAATTCCTTCCCAGCCTCTCTGCTCCCTGCTCTGAGCAACATGTCTCCCGGCAAAACCCCTTTGAACCGATTATTCTCCTGCAGCTGCGGCTACAAAGAACCTTTTGTCTTTTTCTCATTTTACTTTGCAACTTAAGTCATTTATCTTTTCTTCATTTCGTGTTTGTATGTGTACACGCATGCCTGTGTGGGTGCATTATTTTTAAATGGCAGCATTATGAAAAGTAAAGACAAGCTTTTATATTTTTTAGGCTTTAATGCCAAAACAATAAAGAAGTCCCTAGTGGACCCATGGTGAAAAAAAACAGGCACTAAAATGTACATGGTTTTGGAACAAGCAGTTGTATGCTAAGGCTAATAATGGAATTTGTATGTTTATTATTGGTGCAGTGAATAATGCTGATTGATATAGTCCAACTGCTTGCCCTCATTAGCTATTCACAGCAGTCTCATAAAGTTTACAGCGTTATCCTGTAGCAATTTAAAATCACACACCAACTCACAGAAGAGGTAGGCAAGGTTTAAGTACATTCACTGCCTCACTTAAGTACAGGGAAAGACTAAGGAATGTCTTCCATCTGGCTTCGAAGCCCTTTTTGATAAATAAGCCCACACGTCATTCATTCCAGAGATCATCCCAAGCAAGTCCAGTTTTATTCCACTTCTTGAAATGTTCTCTTCACAATTTCTAGATTTAAACTTAACCGTACACATCCCTCCACTCCAGGGAACACTGAAGAGTTGTAAAGTTTTTTTTTTTTCCCATTCCATGTTGGCAGGGTTCTTCCTTCCATCAGGTGGCTGTTTTTTTGGGGGGAGACTTTCATATACACAATAATCATCTTCATACACGTGCTGTAAGAGGCTTCATCACTTGCTGTCCTTTCAGCACCTACAAGGTCATTCACAGGCCATTTACAAAAACTGCCACTTGGCCACCAATATTGTCCTCTCCTATTACCTTCAGAAGAAGTAATTTAAGAACAGGGAAAGAAACCCATAGCAAACTCAATTCTCTAATAAGGGGCATATCATCTTGGAAATAGGAAATATAAAAATAAATTTAAGCATGCAAAACGTTCTTGGTGGGATAGTTTATGATTTGAGGGCCTGGATATTAAGAAATGACTCAGACAGCAAACCACCCAACTGGCAGAGAGCTTTCATGTCACCCAGCCCAGTCTGTTGTCATGTTTGCTTGTGTGTGTGTGTGAGTGTTTTAACTGTTAGATGTTCTCATTTATATGCAAACAAGATATGACCTGACCTTATCACTTGAGTGGCTGATGGCAATTTTAATGTTGATGATAGTATACCACTGGTGCAGATTCTACGCCCTAACATTGTGCATTAGCCTCTAATTTACATTCACAGCCCCGCAATTTTCTTCTTAAAAATGCCCTTTTTCTAATGGAGTGAAACCTTGTAGCTTTCCCGTTATATTTTCCATGTATTTTATTTAAGAGAGGCTTGCAGGTTTATTCTGCGTGGAATATTAATAAAGAGAAATCTGACCCCCTTGTTCTGTTCCTACCCCTCTAACAGCAGTATCTGACGTTCTGTTACCTTCAAGCACATTTCTCAAAATGTGGTCTCTGGATTTTTAGATTGTTTCCTGGAAGATGCTGAAAAATTGCGTCAAAAAAAAAAAAAAAAAAAAGCAAATAGAAGTCTGATTAAGATCAAATTAACAAGGTGATTCATTTTGACCAGGTGCTAGCTGAAAGCTTTCTTTTTTTCCTTCCTCTCTTTACAAGCTCCACCGGTGTTATAATGAAAAGCGACAATACTCCTGGTGGGTAAATTCTAGAAGGCTGATGATGCTTGGCTTCCCAACCAACACTGACATTTTTAGTGGAGAATCATGTTTTTGGCCAGTATTATTATAAGCCAACAACTGACAGATTTAAAAGGTTCTGTGTTTTATAATTTAGTCTCAGTGGAAATCTGCTTCTTAAATTCTAATGGAAAAAAATCTGCAATAAGCTTGGAGGTTACTTAGAAATCTAGGTCCATAATTTAGTTCTTATAGGTCCAAGGCAAGCAGCCAGTTGCTTGTGGAAAAACAAAGCAAAGCTGTTTTGTGCCTGCATTTAAAACATCCCTGTTTGTTTTGGTGTGTGCTAATTTGTGTTTTCCTTTTTGGTGCAGCAATTCCCATTTTCTTGGCGTGAACAAATGAGACTGGCTTCTGCCATAGTTCTGTTTTGACAGGGTACAGACTAACATTCTCTTTTTCTTTCCTGAGTGGGGGCACCTGGATATCTCCTTCTTAACGGTATTTATGTATGCTCCCTCTATCCCCTATTGTCCAAGAGGATTTGGAGCAGCTTGAAAAGATATATATTAGCTTTGCGCAGTGGCAGTATCGTAGCCAATGAGGTTCTTCTGAGGCACGATTATTACTAATTGAAAACTTTTCCCAATACTCCGCCATGACGACTTGAAATATAGTCAGCTTTGGCAATTTTTGACAGTCTCTACAGAGACTGAAAAAAATAAAAAATTAAAAATTAAAGAAGAAAAGAAAAGATATAAATACCAGAATGAAATGAATGTGTGCTATAAAGTTTTACACACTTGCCCCAAATCTGGCCCTAAGGTTTTTACTGACCAAACTGAAGTGTGTGTGTGTGTGTGTGTGTTTAAAAGGGGAAAAATAAGACAAATGCAACTTCAGTGTATCTATTGGGCCTATTTTCATTAATGATTTGAAGACAGGATCAGGGTGCAAGAGTTCCTGATTTTTTTTTGAATAAGAAAATAGTCCATACATACTCATGGCAAAAAAATTTAAAAGTACAGAAGTACATCTATAGGACAAAGTGAAAACCAGGTGACGTTCTGTGGCCCAAGCCTCTCTTCTCAGAGGTGAGTTCTGTTAACAGCTTGGACTGCAGATTTCCAGACTTTAAAAGCAGAAGAGAATAATGTCAAGTGTTAGCAAGGATGCTGTGTGACTAGAATTCTTGCACACTGCTAAGGGGAGCAATACTGATACACCACTTTATTTTTATTTTTTGAGATGGAGTTTCATTCCTGTTGCTCAGGCTAGAGTGCAATGGTGTCATCTCGGCTCACTGCAACCTCCACCTCCCAGCTTCAAGTGATTCTCCTGCCTCAGCCTCCCAAGTACCTGGGATTACAGGAACCCGCCACCACGCCTGGCTAATTTTTGTATTTTTAGTAGAGTCAGAGTTTCACCATGTTGGTCAGGCTGGTCTCAAACTTCTGACCTTAAGTGATCCACCCGCCTCTGCCTCCCAAAGTGTTGGGATTGCAGGTGTGAGCCACTATGCCAGCCAGGTACACCACTTTATAAACCTATCTACAAAAGCAAAAACAATTACAGATGTTGAGAATGTGTATGTGTGTGTTATTTCTCATGACTCTGTAATTCCACTCCCAGGCACGTGCCCAAGAGAAACTATACAAACCTTTATACCAAAGATGTATGTAAGGTTCATTGTGCTACATTTAAATGGCAAAAATCTGGAAAAATCCAATGTCTATCAATATAGAATAAATGGTGGTTTATTCACACAATGAAATCCTATATAGCAGTGAGAACGAATGAGAATATGACATGCCATGCTGGATGAAAGAACCAGGCCCATATGGAACCATATGGTATGTACAGAAAGTTGAAACCAGACAAAACTAATCGGTGATGTTAGAAAAGGAGCACAAGGTGGGGCATGCGAGGTATGGTAGATGTCCCGCTTTGTGATCTGAGGGCTGGTTATGTGGGTAACCTTTGTGAAACTGCATTGAGCTGTACCCAAGATTCATGGCATTTTTTGTATGTTGTGCTTAAAAACATGGAAAAAACTAAACAGCAAACCACCAGACTTATATCAAAGTTATTTTAACTGAATCAGAAAAGGATTATCAGAAAGACAGCTTACAAAAATAAATTATGTGGGAGTGTTTATGCTTTGTTAATGCTGTGTTAAATGACAGCTATCGGTATCCCACCAAAACAGCCACATGCTGTAAGCGCTCCTCCCTTGGTGAAGATGAAGGAAACCCAAGTCAGAGAGGTTAAGGACCTTGCCTAGGGCCACAAGGCCTGGAAAGATGCTCTGATGAGACTCAAATCCAAGTGTCTGTCTCAAGCCCTCTCTGCTCTCTCCGCTTCCCTCACTTGAACTTGTAGGTACTCTTTGGCACAACTACACTCTATAGGCAAATGTGTTTCTACCTAAAAGGAACAGCAAAGAGAACATGGCTATGTGTGAGCCAGTGCTTCTGCTGGCAATGAAGACTACTGGGATGCAGGGTTCAAGTCAACACTGGGATAGAAAGACTAGTATCTTTGATGAAATCCCCAAAATAATGGAAGATGAGGGAAGCCCATTTGTTCCATAAGGGCATTGCACTGTTCCTTTCTTCCAGGGGCAGCAAACTTCCCTCTGAGTGCTCACTGGTAGCCTTGCTGACCTGTCTCTAGAACCCCCCTTCTTAACTACTGAAGAGCAAGGAGAGGAAGGGGTTGGGTAAGATAAGATATGGGAAGCTGGGACGCTTCAAATACCTTGGTACAAATAACTTGCTGCTCACCAGACACTGGTTGTCAAAATTCTGGTACTTCAGTATCCAAAGGTCATTTGAAAATGACTTCAGAATATTTGGTTAAGAAGAACATATGATGAGTAATATCACAAAGAGAAACCATTTGGAAGGCAAATACATATATTTGTAAACATAGCATTTTATTAACAAAATGTTTACACCTTTCTTACAACAAAACAGTGACTCAGCATGTTATACTCTATAAAAGTGTATTATAGGAATATTCAAGCTAAAACAGTATTATTTAAAGGTATGGCAAATCAACTTTCACTTGCAAGCTATCTACTAGGAGCATAGGTATGAAAAGAAAAATCTTACAACAAAAAAACCAAAGGTCTAGTTTTCTTTTGTCAGCATCTACAAACAATGCAGACATCATATGGTTGACATCGACTTAGGTCCAGCCCAAGGTTAAGACTGCAAAAATAAAGTCTTCAAACATCCAGAGAAACTTGGCAAACCACCGCAGCAGCATTCCATTACAGGTAACCAGGCCACGTGTCATGCAGTGAAGCCAAGGCCATAACTTTGGGCTGTTTCTCATAGCGCTACGAAGCGGCCACAACTGTAAGCAACTGAATTTTACTTTCATAAGAGATGCTATTATAAAAAGGCACAAATATCTTATTCCTTGCATCAGGTCTTGAAAAGGCATGACATTCTTAGGAGAAACAGAGATTGCTGGTGGGACGGCTTAGCTTTTTTTACGTGTAGGCTCATTGCTGTAGCTGTTTTCTTCAAGACTTGATTTGGACTTTTACATACTTAGCAAATGCTCTGCTACAAATTCAGCAAAGTTCTGACCACTTATGTTAACTATCTTATTACCAATGGCAAAGAACAATAACATTTTATCAACTGGTCATATTCCCATGGTAAGACAGTGCTGCCCCTCTCTTTCTGAAGTACTGGAGTTCTTCACCTAAAATTGGCCTTTGGCTTTCTTATTTTATTTATATTCTGGCCGGTTTTCTTTTCTTTCAAAAATTTTAAATTAAGAGTTGTACATGTTTTTGAGGTACCTGTGATAATGGATACCTGTATCAAATGTCTAGTGGACTGAATCCGGGTAACGGATTTCCTTCACCTCACTTATCTTCCTTTGCTTCAGGAACATTCTGGTTCTTCTAGCTATTTTCAAATATACAACAAATTATTGCAAAACGTAGTTTCCCTGCTGGAATATCGAATGCTAGAAAGATTCCTGCTAACTGTATTTCTGTACCCACTAACCAACTTCTGTTCCCCACAACCCCAGGCCTGTGCATTTCTCACAGTGCTTGTTAGAAGAAGCCCTAGCTGGAGGGGGTGGGCAACCCCTGCTGCTGTGACCACGGAAGGCCGCAGGGAAGGGTGTTATCACACACGCTGAGGAGGGGGCTGGGGCCATGTGTCTCTAAGGGAGAGCCCACAGAAAAATGAGAAGAATGAGCGAAATAAGGCGAGAAGTCTGCTTCAATCACAGAGACGGTAAGATGTAAATTCTTAAGGTCAGAGGAATGACTGATGATTATGTGAGTGACTCATAAAGTGAAATGATGGAAAGGCTGGACTGCGTAAGAGTTACAAAAAAATCTTTTCCAGGGCAATTACGCTCTGTCTACACAATACAATAAATGGTTTAAAAATAAAGCTACCTTTCTGAGGAGAAATTCATGCAGAAATTAAAAAAAATATATATATATAGAGCTACCACTCAGGAGGCTGAGGCAGGAGAACTACTTGAACCTGGGAGGCAGAGGTTTCAGTGAGCCAAGATTGCGCCATTGCACTTCAGCCTGGGTGACAGAGAGAAACTCCATCTAAAACAAAAAACAAAACAAAACAAAACAAAACGAGCCACTAATCAGTTGCTCTCACTAGCCAGCTGCTGCTAATTCACCCTGCAATGAACTGACCAGTTGCTCTGATGTCACAAGCATGAGCCATGTTAGGACAGTTTCATAAACTCCAATGTCATAACTTCATATACAAAGTATGTGAATATAAACAAATTCAAGTGCTGGCTTCAAAATTTTTCAGGAGTAAAACTGACTATTCAAGTATAAACTTAATTAAAAAGTAATGAGCAAATGATATGAGGATTAAGCCCCAAAGCAAAGTCAAGCACCACCATGGGCATGGGCATGGGCATGGACATGGGCATAGGGACTGCTCACGCCAGTGGACCCCATTCTACTTGAGGGGGCCTGTGAGCTCTACTTGGCCTAGAGGAAGAGGTATGCCCAAGCTCTTCTACAACATGATGTTCATGCTGCAGGGGTTTCCTTGACAATTTCAGTTCTGAGTCAAAATCATTGGCCCTCTGCACGAAATGCTATTTTAAGGATAATTTCCTCCACAGGACTGCATTAAACAGTTTCACTAAACAATGAAAAGTTCCTCAATCAAGCAAAAGGTGGAATCAGTAAACTGGGATGTTTTGTTTGTTAGATTATTAATGTCCACAGTTTAAAACTTGTAATGTCTTAATGTCAATTAAGAAAAGGTCTTTAGGCTGGGCGCGGTGGCTCAAGCCTGTAATCCCAGCACTTTGGGAGGCCGAGGCGGGTGGATCACGAGGTCAAGAGATCGACACCATCCTGGTCAACATGGTGAAACCCCGTCTCTACTAAAAATACAAAAAATTGGCTGGGCATGGTGGTGCATGCCTGTAATCCCAGCTACTCAGGAGGCTGAGGCAGGAGAATTGCCTGAACCCAGGAGGCGGAGGTTGCGGTGAGCCGAGATTGCGCCATTGCACTCCAGCCTGGGTAACATGAGTGAAACTCCGTCTCAAAAAAAAAAAAAGAAAAGGTCTTTAAAAAAAATCACTACTGGCTGGGAGCGGTGGCTCACATCTGTAATCCCAGCACTTTGGGAGGCCAAGGTGGGTGGATCACCTGAGGTCAGGAGTTGAGATAAGCCAACATGGCGAAGCCCTGTTTCTACTAAAAATATAAATATTAGCTGGGTGTGGTGGTATGTGCCTGTAATCCCAGCTACTCAGGGAGCTGAGGCAGAATTGCTTGAACCCAGGAGATAGGTGGCAATGAGCTGAGATCATGCCACTGCACTCCAGTCTGGGTGAAAGAAGGAGACTCCATCTCAAAAAATGGAAAAAAAAAAAAAAAAAGAAAAAATCATTACTATCTTAGGGCTTTTAATTGTCTGATAGGACTTGGCACTTGAATTCTTGTTCATGAACACAATTTTGTTGTTGCAATTATGATGCATTTTGTAGGGCACTGGGCACCATACACATCTAGAAATGAACTTGCAATAAATTAAACTTTTCTTGTTAAATCTGTTAGACACCATGGTTTTAATTTCACCATCTACTAATGATACATCTCAATCTTACTATTCTAAAATGTTCAACGTAATAACAGGAATAGATAGAAGGTTTGAGATTTATTATTCTTTTATTAAGCTTATGAATCCTTTTGTTTTGAGGCCAAAAATATCCTGGCCTATCCATAATTGATTATACTCTAAAAGGAAAGAACACAGATTAGTTATTTCTGACGGTACAGACCATCAAATTAAACTTGATCTATGCTACTGGAAGTCCTTCTAGATTTGGAAAGTAAATCATCTTCCTATATGCTAAGAGAATACTGAAAGACAAAGAGAGAAATATGAAGATTCTTGGTTCTATTTATTCACTTTCCACATTATGTCTAATGAAACTTCATCACAATAGGGCTCTCACTTATCATTCTCTTAGATTGAAAAAATGGAGGCTCTTGAAAAATGTAATACCCTTCTAATATTTTTTAGACTTTCATTTGAACATAAAACAGGACAAATGCCCCAGAATTCCATTAATGTTTCTTGCAAATCAGATAATCAAATTGCCTGGATTTCTATTACTAGAAGTCAAGACAAGAAACTCCGCTGTCAAGAGACATTTTCAGAGGTTTCTTTTTTTAACTTCTCGGCTAAATTCTACCCCTACTCCCTTTTTTCTAGAACTATAAAGTATCATGTTTATCTCCTGGATAATTAGTTGCTTAGATTATCTTTTTTAAATCATAGTACAGCAGGAGTTAAAACAAATAGCCTAAACATTATCTTGAATCATTTAAAAATCCTTCTGATAAATCAAACTAACTGGAGGCAGGCACAGCGTCAACGGCTTGACCTCTGAAGGTATATTCTATTCTTTCCTTTAAAAAATATTAACTGTTAAGAGGTAGAAAATCTCTAGGAGTCAAACTTGGTAAAACTGTCCCTTTAAAACAAATGTAAATCGTGATTTTTACAGGTTCACTATCTAGTTTGTCATTGTCATTTAACTTTCATTACAGAGTTAGAAGGAATATTTATAGCCCACTGAGGTTAGAGAGGAGAGCCAGCCCGAGTTTGTGGGCTGTCAATTCCCAAATGTTCTAGAACAAGTACCTAGTATAGCTGAGGAATTTCCAGTAATTTTTCCCTGCAAGAGAAGGGTTTTTGCAATACTTACACAGGTTCCTGCTGAGACATGTGGATGTCTGGGTGGGGGTTCATCTGCTATTTAAGTAACATACTGTGCACCTGTATCTTATACTCTAAGGGCCCATGAATCACGTCCTTGATATCTTCTGAAAGAATAAGTGAAAGTACCAAAAAGAATTTTGTAATTCACTCTTAGAATCTAAAAGATGCCTGTAACCATGAGCAAATGCCTTTTTGAGCTGGAGGCTGACATGCCAATTAGTGCAGTGTCATCGGAATCTAAATCTCCTATTTTAACACAATGCCCTAAAAATACTGACATTTTGGTTTGACAGCTACAAGAAAGTTAGCTAAAGGATATTTTCATTACTGTATTTCCCAGAGTTTAATTCAGAAGGGCCTCCTAGACCAATTTTCCTCCTTGAGAACAGAAAAAAAGGTACATACAAGACTTAAAGAGAAGTTGTGAAATTAAAGGTGGTTTCCTTTCCCTTTAGATATGTAAGAATAAGAGAAATCAATAACCTCGAGAAGGACAGCAGCCCACATAGAGGAGGAGATCAAGCCTTAACACAGACATTCTGGTCCTTTCAGATATCCAGAAAGTGTGTACACAATGGGCAGCAGGCACTTCAAACAATATGGTAAAAGGGTCACAAGAAAATAAGTTAGTTTGAAAAGAACAAAATCTTGGCCGGGCGCGGTGGCTCAAGCCTGTAATCCCAGCACTTTGGGAGGCCGAGGCGGGTGGATCACGAGGTCAAGAGATCGACACCATCCTGGTCAACATGGTGAAACCCCGTCTCTACCAAAAATACAAAAAATTAGCTGGGCATGGTGGTGCATGCCTGTAATCCCAGCTACTCAGGAGGCTGAGGCAGGAGAATTGCCTGAACCCAGGAGGCGGAGGTTGCGGTGAGCCGAGATCGTGCCATTGCACTCCAGCCTGGGTAACATGAGTGAAACTCCGTCTCAAAAAAAAAAAAAAAAACAAAATCTTTCAGCTGCTTTGTGCAGAACTTATCCTGACTGCAGCTGACAAGCAGGTGATGGAGGTTTCATTTGGAACCAGAAGGGCTTGCAGTAGGTACTTCTCCCCAGTCACTTCTTACGGAGAGTTTAAAATGAAGAACACTTAATCATAATCTTACTTTATGTTCTTTTAATCACCAGATGATAGTTAATTAGTTATCATAGAATCAGAAAAACACTTGTGTGAAAAGAGAGTTCTGGAGACCACTGGTTTGTAGGACTGGACGCCTGCAAAGAGCTTATTTCAATTTCTCTGAAAAGAATCAACACATACTTGTAGCTAATTAATAATTTTCTCTTCTGTTCAGTTCTGAGCGTTTTAAAAAATGGCCCTGTATCGTAAGTAATCCAAAAATTTTTTATAGATGGGCCTATGTCTCAATTCCTTTGAATCCAGCCTCTTCTCCAAAAGAAATTGTTCTAAAGAAAATATGAAATGTGTATTAGGTCACTGCTTATTCAGGTTAATAATCCAAAATGTGTTCAAAATAAAACACTGCTTCTGACTTTAATATTCATCTTTGCATTTTAGAAACAAACAAAATAAGTAAAAACATTTTTTCCCTGCTTTCACTGAGTATGGATTACGGATCTGAGACAGCAATTTGTTGTTGTTGCTAAGCATTAAAAGGATATTACATGAGAAACAGTGCCAAGTCAGCTTCTTAGACACGCTGATGAAAATGAGGGAAGGGGCCCAGAAATGCCTAAGTATAAGCTCATATCACTCATTCTGTTAATAAAACACGTGGCTATAATAAAACAGAATCATGCCCTACATATGGGAGGGAGTGTGATAAATCATGAAATCAGCAAAGGCCTGACAAGATGGACTCACGTTGGGGTAGGTACAGTAAAACATCACGGTAAGATCAGACACATCCAGATGCCTCACCAGTTAAGAGGAGGCTCAGAAGACCTTGCCTTTCCCCATGCGTGGAGACACCGTGCAATCACCAACAGCTACGGGTGGGTTTGGTGGAAAAAATGTGAAGGTCATATATTTGTACCATCTTTTGGTAAAGTAAGATAGAAAGGGTCACACACGCTTTGCCTCTTCAGTAATGAGTCAGGCAACCTCTGTTTTTATTTTGTTGTCATGGAGATAGAGGCCCAGCAGTGGGAATTCTAGGGACATACTAGGGCAGTAGCCAGATGCCTGGGAACCATCTGGATGTATACAGAAGAAAGTCAAACTACTTTCAAGTATAAAAGGCCTAGCCCTGGAAATCACTTGGCTTCTCTGGGAGCCTGCTAATTCAGCCCTGGGGAGGAAGCAAGATCCAGGGGATGGAGCATCCACACGTCTTTTAAACAAAACAAAGTTAGAATTTTTACTAACTACATTCTTTCTATATAATTTCAGAAGAGAAAAAAAAAAAACAATTCCAAATGCTTAAGATATACAACCGGGAAAAGGGAATTGTTTTTTACTTAATCTGAATTATAATTTTCCCATTAAAATTTATCCATATTAAGTGGGGGGCACACAACAATAACAATTATTTTTTAAAGTTTCAGCTGTTCAGTTTAAGGATAGCTCTGAAAACGCAACTTAGTTTGAAATTCAAGCTGTTTCATTTCCTATTTAATCTTGTAAATTTCCTTCTCTTACAATACTCAGGTTGGAAGGGTGCCAAATTAGACCAGGGACAAATTTTCACCAACTTCACTTCAGCGCTTTATTTTTAGATTATATTAAAAATCTCATTAGGCTCCCTGAGGGAAAAGAGTGTTAACCACTAACAGAGGCAGGGGAAAATAAAGGAAACAGAAAGGTCAGCTATAATTGTTAACAAGGAAAGCTCTCCTGAAACAGTTGGTCTGAGGCTGCTGCACAAGCTAAAAGAAGCTTATTATCAAGGCCAGGTAAATGACTTGAGATTGGAGCTTAATCTTTTACCCCCAGGCTCGTAAGGACTAGTCAGGCTTGTCAAAGTGGCATATGTCTTTATTATGATTTCCAGACGGGATCTGGCAGGAGGCGGGTGGGTGGCAAGGAAGGCAGAGATGCTAAGTGCTCTCTATGCCTTTATACAATACCAATGTGCTTGAGTCTCCCGTTAACAGGCTGAAAACGGGGCGGGCACACGCAAGACTGGGTGCAAGATTCAATGGAATGTCAAATGAAACTTAGAATTTATTAATGTATTTACATAACTTATAACCTTTAAGCAATGCCCTCATAAATATAGACTACAACTTTACATATGCTAAGCAACAGATACTTGTTTTTCCCCACCAAAATACTTGGGTTAAAAAAAAAAATTGACAGCATTTACACCAACTTTACTCCCTCTCTTCTTCCTTTTTAAACAATTGCTAGTCAGTTAGAACACACGAAATTCAATTTATTCCAGGCAGCTTCTCTACCATCACCATCTTGATCATGAGAGCTTATTTTAAAAAGGTGCCAATAACATGTTTGGTGGCACACACATGACGAGGTCAGAAGCAAACCCAGGGTGAGCTACGGATCTGCTGCTATCATTGTTAATTTACTGTACGTATCCTAGGCTAACATAGTTAATGAAAAGTGCTTTAGAGATGGCAGAGATGAAGTCATTTCCATCAGTCCTATAAATAACCCATTTTAGCTTCAGATAATAATTGTCCTTTCTCCACTTAGACCATCCTACTATATGATACAACTCCCTCTAACAGTGGTAACAGAAGCCAAGGAAATGATAATCTCCACAAGGTCTTTTTTTTCCCTTAAGAACCACAAAAGTGCTAATTTTCCCTTTACAAATGTTACATAAAATCTTGATTACAAAACTACTCAACAATTTAATCTTACCATCCATACAATTATATGTTCCTTTTCAGCAAAGTCAAAAGCCAATGATGTAGTCCCTTTGTACACTAGAGATTCTTTACATAATAGAAGTCCACAGACTGAAATGTCATTGCTGCAGTCTTTGGAGAAGAGACTGGTCAGTATCTATGAATCCTTTTTGCACGGAGAAGACTCAAGACCGGCTAGGTGGAAACTGGTGGCAGGACCCCAGCCCTCCTGTTAACTTTCAGGACCACCTACTTCATCATCAAGTCTGAGAGGCTGAGGTTCGGTCAGCAGCAGCTCCTCTTTGGCTCTGAAGGCTGCCTTCGGAGTTTGAAGCCCTTACCGCCAGATGGCGGGTTGGCGTCAGTGGATGGAATTCTTCGACCTAAACCAAGATGAGAAGACGGAAGGGAATGAGATTTAACTTTCTAAATCTGTCCATTCTCAGACACAACAATTTTACAGATGCAATTTGACAGGTTTCACTGAAGTTAAAAAAAAAAAAAGCTTAATAAACTTTTTATATTGGAATAATTTTAGATTTATAGAAAAGTTGCAAAGATGATATAGAGAGATCCTGTGTATCTCCCACCCAGTTTCCCCCAATGTTGATATATTACCATGGGACATTTGTCAAAATGAAGAGTTCAACATTGCCACATCACCATCAACTCCAGACATTTTTCAGAGAGCACCAGTTTTTCCGCATGTCCTGTTGCTGCCCCAGAATCCAAACAAGGGTATCACACAGCACTTAGCAAAAGTTTTTTAATTAAAAAAAGCCACACATTAGAACATTTTGTTCTGAGTAGGTAATACATATGATTTATTTTTGAAAAGTTCAATCAGAACATGGCTGTTCCTCTTTCTCATGATCAAGGCCACTACTGCAACCTATTTCCTAAGCAGCCTTCCAGAGACATATATGCACAAACACTCATGGGCACACCTATATCCCTACCCACCTTCCCTTTGCCAAGGCCAAATGGGGCAAGAAATAAAGCAAACTGTATGCACCATTCTCCATCTTGATACTTACACTCAAAACATCCTGGGGATTGTGGTATCATAGTTCATGGAGAAAGAGCTGCCGACTATTTTTCTTTTGAGACAGGGTGTCAGTTCTATCGCCTAGGCTGGAGTGCAGTGGCATGATCTCGGCTCACTGTAAACTCAGTTTCCTAGGTTCAAGTGATTCTCCCGCCTCAGCCTCCCGAGTAGCTAGGACTACAGGTGTGCACCACCATGCCCGGCTAATTTTTATATTTTTAGTAGAGATGGGGTTTTGCCATGCTGGCCAGGCTGGTCTTGAACTCCTACCCTCAGGCAATCTGGCTGCCTAGCCTCTCAAAGTGCTGGGATTACTGGTGTGAGCCACTGTGCCTGGCCTGCTGCTTTCTTTTTAACAGCTCTAAAATACTGCATTTATAGATGGACCAGCACTCAATTCAACCATTTCTCTATTGCTGGGTATTTAGTTTGTTTCCAATATTTTGATGTTATTAACAAAGATGCAAGAAGCATCTTTGTGAACTTATGAGTATATGTGTAGGATTAATGCCAGGAGGGGAAGAGCTAAGTCACGCTATTCTACTCCTGGTATTTGTCTGACACATACACTATATTCCAGTGTCTATCCAGCACAAATGCAGGAGGAATGTGTAATTTAAATTTTGACAGATGCTGCCAAATTACCCTCTGAAAAGGCTGTGCCACTACATTCTCCTACCAACAATGCATGAGAATGAACAGGCTTCACTTTACTGCTCCATGAAGCATAATGCCAATTTCGAGAGAATCCTTAAATCACCCATCTACCTTCCTGGCTGATAACTCTAGGGCTGCTTCTTGTACAAAGGCTTTCCTGACACCCTCCCACTTCCTTACTCTCCAGCGTCTCAGACACTACAATCAATCAGGACTCCAGAAACAGGTTATTACATATCTCATATCTGTTCACATGACTATCTCCCTCACATTAGACCCTAAGCTCTTTTAGGGAAGAGATCCTATTTGTCCACCTTTATGTTTCCAGTATCATAACAGCACAATACCTGACACAGAAGTATTTTGTAACCATGGAATAAATGGACATTAACAAAGCTAAGAAGGCCCCTCTGCTGACTGTCAGGTTCTCAGCTGTCAAGCCTTGAGCTCCATCACTTTGAGCTGTCTGCAGGTCTGTGTGGGGAGGACGCAGCATAGTTTCCACACTGAGAAAGCATCTCCCAGTGTCTTGTAACGACTTTTCAAATGACTAGACACTGCTGTGAATATACTACAAATTTGTTTAAAGCTTTACTGAAGCTTCTTGTCATTATTCTCAATAAATGGATATTGAAATATACCTGGTATCACAGACATCTATGAAATATGACATCAAAAACTGGGGAACAAATAATATTTTAAGAAGAAAGCAGAGGAGAATATTTTCATGAGCTGGGAATAGGTAATGATTCCTGAAACAGCAACCAAAAACTGAAAGCAGCTAAACATAAAGGAAAATAAGGATAAATCAGATTATACGAAGATTAAAAACTTGGATTCGCTGAAAGAGTTGACTAAAAAAATAAAAGGCACGCCATACAGTAGAAGATACTTCCAATATACACAGTCAATAAATGGCTCATACCCAAAATAAAGAATTATAAAAAATTAAGAAGGCAGGTAACCCAATAGGAAAACAGGTAAAAGACTTAACAGGCACTTCACAAAGGAGGATATGTAGATATGATAAATGTAAATAAATATTTGGAAATGTGCTCAACTTCATTAACTGTCATGAAAATGTAGATCACTGCCTACTAACCAGAGACAGAAAGTGACCCAGTTCTCATACACTACTGGTATGGGTGCCAACTAATACAACCACCACTTTGAAAACTCGTTGGCAGTAAAGCTATGCTGAATGCATGCATACTCAATGACCAGCAATTTTTCTTATGAGTATACTTAACTAATATACTTAACAAAAATGTGTACAGATGTTCACCAAAGAATAAGATGAGAAATTTGGAGCAGTACTGTTTGTAGTAACTCCAAACTGGAAACAGCTACCCAAATGTCTATCAACAGCAGAATGGATGTAAATTACTTTGTAGATATTCCTCACTTTCCCCCTCACCCCTACAACTCGGACTCTGACACTGACACCCACAAACCAGCCATGAGAATGGATTATTCACAGCTAGACGCAATGACATGGATGGTCTAAAAATGTAATGCGGAATTTACCCTTGGGTGTAGAAACTGCCATGTCCCAACCAGAGTACCAAGGACTGGAGTATATTCGATTTGCAAAAATTCACTATGCCTTGCACTTCTGATAAGTGCACGTTTCTGTATGTCCGTAACACTTCAACACAAATTCAGTGTGCCAGGCACTGTGCTCATGCAGTTTTACTAAACCAGTGAACAATAAAGTCTATGTACATCTCTCTCAATTTTTCTAATCTTTGTGAACATACAGGTTTTATTTTTTCACAGTTAAAAGCTACATACTAGTTTTTATATAAGAATTTTCATTGTTGGCATAGATTACTACCTTCCTTTTTTTTTTTGTTTGTTTGAGATGGAGTCTCACTCTTGTTGCCTAGGCTGGAGTGCAATGGTGTGATTTTGGCTAACGGCCATCTCCACCTCCTGGGTTCAACTGATTCTCCTGCTGCAGCCTCCCAAGTAGCTGGGATTATAGGCATGCACCACCATGCCCAGCAAATTTTGTATTTTTAGTAGAGATGGGGTTTCACCATGTTGGCCAGGCTGACCTCAGGTGATCCACCCACCTCAGCCTCCCAAAGTGCTGGGATTATAGGTGTGAGTCACCACATCTGGCCTACCTTCCTGTTTTTAATACCAGTATAGTCAAGAACACAAAAAGACAGCGGTAATTTTGACATACTCATGACGCCACACACTTAGATATTTTAGCTTGAGCTGTGAAAAATTCCCAACTGGCTTTATGTTGCCTTTCAAAAATCCATCTGGGTACCTGTTATTTACATCTAGGACAACAATAAACATGATTTTTGTTTTTTAAGAGATAGGGTTTTGCTCTATCATCTAAGTTGGAGTGCAGTGGTGCAATCAATAGCTTACTACAGCCTCAAATTCCTGAGCTCAAGTCATCCTCCCACCTCAGCTTCCTGAGTGGCTGGGACTATACGCACATGCCACAACACCCTAGTATTTTTATTTTTATTAGACATAGGGTTGTACTATGTTGCCCAGGGTGGTCTTGAACTCCTGACCTCAAGTGATACTCCTGCCTCAGCCTCTGGAGTGGCTGGGATTATAGGTGACAACCACCATGCCCAGGCACATCATGACTTTTTAACATGACTTTGAAATAAAGGGGCTGGCCTAGAGGGTGCAATCAGTAGTTCACTGGCCATATTTGGTGGTAGGTGGGCTCCTCAGGCCTGCAAAGTACTCTGAAAATACTTGAATTATTGCCCAAATCTAAACAGTAGGACATGTTAAAAAAAATGTGAAAATCACCTTAGCAACTAGGGGTCCACATTCCAGCGTGGCTCCAACTGATGAAGCTGGGCCTGGCCTGAGCTAGGGTTCCTAGGCCTTCCCCTGGGCCTCTCTGCTCATGGGTCATCCTTGCCTGGCCTTGGTGGGCTCTGGGGTTCATGCGCCTCCTCAACACAATGGCCAAGGACCCTCCCTGCTTCAGTCACCTTGGCTCTCATCTTAATGTGTAAGTCCACCCTGCTCTGTTGGCTTTCTGCTTTTTTCCACCTGGAAGTCTGACATGTTCAGTTCATGTGACTCCCCACACCTCTGCAGGGCCTGTTCCCTTGGACCTCAGCTCTGAGTGCCTCCTTAGAGAGGCCTTCTCTGATCGCTTGCAGACATCCTTCACTTCATCCTAAATTATTTTCTTCGAATCCCTTATTATGATCTGAAATGATCCTATTTATTTGGTGTTCACTGTCTGTCTCCCTCTATAGAATGCGTGCTCCAGGAGAGCAAGGGCTGCATCTATCTTCTTCACAGCTATTTCCCCTGAGCCTGGAGCAGCTCCCAATAAATATTTTGATGAATTTGAACGAAATGAATAAACATAGATACAATCTACAGAGGATCCCAAAGGCATGCAGCAGCCTCTCGCCCGTCTAGTATCATCATATTAACACTTCAGGAAAGGGAACGGAAAGGGGGAAAACAGGTCTCACCTTTCACTTGCCTAGCATTATTTTTTGAGGGTTTTCTTACACTGGAATTATACCTGCATTTCATTTCCCTTTATTTAGTTTGTTCATTTTCAATCACCTTGGATGACTAACTGAAACACATTTAAATAGAGAAAGAAATAGACAGCTTTCATGATCTCTATGCCCCGTACATTATTTATTCAGTAGTAGCATTCTTTCTAGAAGGGCAGCAGCTCTTCAGGAACTGGAACATGATATAAAAACTGGCCATCACTCTTACCTTCTCCAATCTCATTTCATTCAGCACAGTATCAGAGACTAGATTGCTCTAAGGAAGATGGGAATTCTAACCAGGAAGATCATTCTGTGTTAAGTTGCTTTTACAGAGGAAATGGATAAGGCACAGAGATACTCACTAATTTCTATAAAGAGTTCATTTATGTTTATCGCGTTTTTTGCGCTGGTCTCTACAAAAATTGCATGAATAGAGTCGGCGTAGTCCTTTGCATCTCTCTCCATGACTTCTCTGGAAGGCAACAACTGCATATCAGAAATTCTACCCATGAAGATCTTGGTTTTATCCCCACCTAGTCAGTAGTTAGCCAGATTTATGACGACAAAGGATGTCCTGAATGGCTGTCGAATGGGCCCTGAGACATGGTCTTCCCAATTACATCACATCCACGATTAAACAAAACAAAACAAAACAAAACTCGCTACCACTAGTAATGTAGCTAATGGAATGATTAGGGATGGCAGGGTTTTCTTCCCCAGCCAAAATTTTCAGAAAGCCCTTGCTTTGGGACTGATGGAAGTGGCCCAGAGAAACTGTTAATAAATGTGCTTTCTGCATTCAAGTATTCCAAGTTATGGGAGCCTGGGGGCTGCTCTGATTTCAGACAATGTTGGGCGCAATACAACCAGTGTTTCTGTAAATTGCACTCCTGTCTATATACATAATGAGCTTCAAATGCCTGAAATCTTAATTTTAGTTTGAAACTTCAGGACTCCAACCACATAACCAAAAGGAATTTTTCAATGTCAGAGATAAAAGCAAGATTCTTATACTGGATATTGCTCATTAAGAAAAGGAACACATAACAGGCATTGTAATCCTCGTTCTATTAACTTACCTTACATCAATAAGATCACACTTATTTCCTGCAATGGCAACGACAATATTAGGTGGGCCATGCTGTCGAAGCTCTTTCACCCAATTCTTTAATGTTGAAAATGTCTCCTGTAACACAAAAAAGGAGAGCAACTGGAGATGTAAGCAACTAAAAGAGAATTTTCAAAACTGTCTAAAGAAAACTATATAGTCTTACTTCTTTTGTGATATCATAAACGATTATAGCTGCGGCCGACCCTCGATAGTACATTGGTGCTAAGGCACGAAACTGCAGAGGAGAGGGAAAAATAAACAAAATTGGGGAAATTGGTTAAATATGTTTTTTACTAGACTTACAAGCCCATTATCCCTGCACAAAAGATAATCTTTCTCTTAAGCCAAAGAAAATGACATGCTGCTTTAAAGTAAATGAACCAGTAATTACCAAAGGCAAAAACTTTTAATGTAACACTGAAATGTCTCTCAGAAGATAGTTTAGAATACAGTTTTATTGAAATTAAATATGGCACTATAAACAATTGTTTTAGCTAAAAAGGCTTTTTAATTGAACTCAATGTTATAATTCCCAAATTTCATTTGCTCAATAGTCCTTTCAACTTTGGTTTCCCTAACTATCACGGAGATAAAAAAAAAATGCTGTAAATAGTTCTCCAGAGAAGTGCCTGCATTTGGGTGTCATGAAGAAAACCCTGTAATCTAAACACTGATTGTCCTTCAGAAATGAGTACACATTTATGTTCACTACTTAGATGAGTTTGCGACTTGCTTTTTTGGTATCTCCATGCGTGGCAATTCCCAAATGCTGGGTGCAGATCTCATTTCATTTACATGAATTTAACCCTGTATACACAGCTTCTTCCCACTCATCACGCCAGCCTCTGCACCCCATGACACACAACAGGGAGGAAAGAGAAAGGAGAGGAGTAACCATTTAAACGACAAGCGTGACTTAGTGAGCTCTTTCTCTTGATGTGTGAGATGGAGGCTGTGAAGCTCTTTCCCCTGTCAACCTCGGTTCTTGGGCACACGTCTGGTGTGAGCATCTCAGCCAATGAATTTGATGCCAATGTTTAATGACAAGAATTTTGCTTATACTTAATTTTCGTCTTACACCCTGACTCTGAAGACTGACTCCTACTTATGATCTGATGCCAATGTATTCGCATCCTGTTGTTAATGGTGGTTTACCCTGAACACAGGCAGGCATTATTACAGGGAAGCATTTGGTGCGTATACATAAACCATATACACACTATGGATTCTGGAACTCCTTATTCACTGAGTTTAACCTTTTGGCTTTTAAAGTTTCATATTAATTTGAGTTTTACAGAAGAAAGTGGAATTCTGACTGTAAGCTCCATGAGGGATGTCAGGATGTCAGCATGTCTGCTGAGCACACCATTTTACCTCAGTGCCTAGCATCTGGCACGCTACAGGTTATCAAGAATTGGTGAACAAATGAGTAAGAACTGTGTGAGTGTGGGGAGCTGTCAAACTAAGTGTCAGATCTCGATGTCCATATACAGAAACTGTTACTAGTCTTTGTGAGAGAAATCCCTGCCTCTGGGGTGAAAGCCTACTAACTTCCAATAAAGGAGACATTAAGTTTTAGAGAAAAGAAAACAAAAATAAAGGCTAGAAGCAAGAAAGCATCACAGAAATGAAAACTATATTATTGAGTAAAAAACATATAAAGTGTTGGGTTCACTTCGACAGTGTAAGAGAAAATGAAACAGAAGTGCACAGATGGAATAACGGTTACGGTGCTAGCTTTCATTTTTGATGTACTTATACTGGCAATGTCCTTTACAGGGCTGTGTTTTCTTTCTTCAAATTCGTAAGGTAAAACTCATAATAGAGAAAAGCAAAGATCTTAACAGTACAATCTGCTAAACTAACAAATGTATGTATCTGTGTGAATGCCATCTACTAAGATGTCAAACGGTTCTATCAACATGGAAAGTTCCTCAATATTCTTATCATGTCCTCCTTCCGCCTTGTTTTCATGTCTATTTTATTGATCTTATACACTCACATGGGTTTCTTTTGTTTATTATTTGCGTAGAATACCCTGTTCCATTCTATTATTTTCTAATTTTGTTTTCGTATTTGTAGTAGTGCTCTTATACCCAGCACACAGTTGGGCCCTGATTTTTGACCTTTGCCTTTTAAGTGGAAGGTTCAGTTCCTTTACATTTAATGCATTTACTACTATATTTAGATTTAGGTCTACCATTTTATTTAGCATCTGTTCCATTTCTTTTAAAAATTCCTGTTCCTCCTTTCTCTCTCTCTTTTGCACTGCCTGAATTTTTCTTAGTGTTTATTTTCAGTGTATTAACTTCCTACTGGCTTTTGAGCTCTACTTGCTTGTATTTTTTTAAGTTGTTGCTTTTGTAACTATAACATATACCACACAGTTTTCTTTTTCTTTCTTTTTTTTTTTTTTTTTTGAGACAGTCTCGCTCTGTCACCCAG